GGGGCCGGCCTTCAGTTTAGGGGTTTAGGGTTTAGGGTTTAAGGTTTAGGGTTTAGGGAGTTTGGGGCGTTCTTGGCTATAGAGGTTCTCTCTGAAGGCAACTTGGGAACCACAACTCGTTCGCAGCATTTCGCAGCCTCGGTGTCTCGTCTCGCGTTCCTGCAATGATCCAACATGGGCTCTCGGTGCTTTTGTGTTGGTGGGCGCATCACTTCTATGTGGCGCGGCGGGACAAGGTGGCGGAGGCGGTGGAGCAGGTGGAGCAGGCGGAGGCGGCGGGACAGCGTTGACGGAGCCGCGCATCACCATCAAAGCCGCGCAAGGAGTGGCGAATGCTGAGCGCAGCAGATTGGAAGAAGGTGACGGACGCCATGTGGATCATGAAGACGACGGAGTAGGCAGCCGGTATCCAAACATATGGCCAGTGCACCTATGACTACTTCCCGACCAAACACGCCGCGGCGTATTCGGACGTGCGCGGCGACCAGGCTCACTTCGGCCCTCAGTTCATGACTTGGCACAGCGCCTTCGTCTTGGAGTTCGAGAATGCGCCGCTGTCTGTGGACAGCACGTTTGGTGTCTTGCCATACAGCGGCCTCTCCGTCCATCTTCTCGGAGACCTACTTCGGAAGTGCTGGTGGCACAGGGTCCGACTCTCAAGTTGTCGACTGTGCTTTCCCGAACTGGTGGATCAGGGCGGGGTTTTCCTTATCAGATTACAACCCAACCGGCAGCTCTCCATACGCTGGCTCGCCCATGGGAATGCTGCGAGGGCCCAGCAACAACCACGCGAATGCCATAATGACACGCTTCGGCTCGATGACTGGTACAAGTGCGTCGAGGGTGATGCGACTGTCAGCGGGAGCCTCCACGGAGGACCACATGGGCAGGTGGGCAGCAGCTCGGGCGGCAACAGCGGCGACTTCGAGGACCCCGGTCACATCGCCGAATGACCCCCTCTTCATGTTCCATCATGCAAATGTGGGCCGCAGCATGCGTTGGTGGATGCTGAAAAATGCAGCCAAGCGCAGCACCTTCTACGGCTTTCCTGCAGCCCACGCCGAAGGCATTCGCGAGAATACCGGGAGCTACTATTTGCAGAACCTCCTTGACGTGATGTCAAGCACCTCAGGTTTCACCACTGCCGACCTTGGCTTCTCCGATGCCTCCTCCGGTTTCCAGACCAACGCGGATCTGCTTTGCCACAACGGTCCCCCCACGAGTGCGTACACCTATGACACGGAGGTGGCATGCTCTGGAGGAAGCACTGCCTGCTCGGCGGTTTGGGGCGATACCACGGACGACAGAGGCCGGGACGACAGCTGGCGCGACACAGGCAGAAGCCACAGTGGCCGGGACGACGACAGAAGCCGGGACGACAGAAGCCAGGACCCGCGTTAGCAACACGGGCACCCGACAGCACAGAGTAGGCACGGTCTTGATGTCAGGCCTCTTCGCGGCCTTGGACACCAACACGTAGAATTAAGAAATCACTCACTCGTCCAGTTGATTTTGTCAAGTCGGCGGGGGTGGAGAGACGTTGCTATGACGCGTATTTCCCTTCCCCGGCTTTTCTCTGCTTTGTCGATAGGCGAGCAGCGAAGTTGCCTCACCCAGCAGAGATGTTTGACATGATTTGGGTTTCCAGAAGCTGGTCCATCCAGTTCTGGGAGCCCCCTGCTGTCCAGATGTCGGCGATCGTCGGCGAATCTCCTTGATGTGCAAAAATCCTGTGAAAACATCCTGCCACTGCATATACTTCAGCCTCTCTGGATTCTGTTGCCATCATCTGCATGCGATGCCTACATGGCCTGTCGGGCTCTTCACAACTCACGTTCTACACCCTAAACCCTAAACCCTAAACCCTACACCCTAAACCTTAAACCGTTGCGTGAGGCCCTGGCTCATAGGTCACGGCCTTGTAGCCAAGGGCTCCGCCCCAAGACTGCAATGAACTAGAGCTGGTCGGGAGCTCTGGGAACTCGAACCAAGAGGGTCCATATATAGTACTATTATGGAATTAGGTTCCAAATACCATAATAGGGATGGTCTTCTGGGACCTAACTCCATACTGGTAGTGTATATGGACCCTCTGGGGAAACTTAGGATGCCGGTGCTGTTCTGAGGGTGCAGGCTTTGGGGTTCTCGGTCTTATGAAGGGGTTTAGGGTAGGGAGTGTAGAGGGTTTCGGAGATTAGACTTGAGGGGTGGAAGGCTCGATTGCAGAGATTTACGCGTTCAGATCTTCGCGGTTCAGGCTTCTTTTCAGAAGAGTTCTAGGTGGTTGTCAGGATTCTGGCTTCCAGAATCCCTTGTCCGAAATCACCCTCTCGCGGTCGTTCTTCCATCACGGCGTTCGTCAGAAGATGCCACAAGAGGCACTGGCCACTGCATCAATCAAGTCGATCATTTCGCGGTCTTTAGGATTATACGATCTAGTCCAATCCTTGTACGGCCCTCGTAAGCATGGGCGGGGTTTACGGCGTCGTCTCGACCTCCCAGATTCTAGACCCGACAGAAGACTTGGCCGTTCCAGAACAACCCGAAACCCTGAGCCCTGTAGCACCCTCTGTCTTAAATTCCTACTCTAAATCCTAAATCCTACACCCTAAACCCTAAACCCTAAACCCTAAACCCAAAACCCTACCCTAAATCCGAAACCCTAAACCCTAAACCCTGCACCCCTACAAAGCTGGGGTTCGGAGCCCCCTTGGGGTTTAGGGCTTTTTAGGCTTCGTTTTGTTGTTGGGTTTGGTAGGTTTTGTGGTCGATGGTTCTAGGGTGTTAGGGCGCCAGGACCTGCGGGACTTTGAGGTCTAGGCCTTTTTGGTGCCGTAGGGCTTATAAGGGTCAGCAACGGATCTCTCGCCCAGGTCATTCCGGGCTAACGAAGCTGCCGAAACTGCCAAAGTGTGGGCCTCGACCTTGTCGTTGCGGTTTAGGATCTATAGGGGGTTTAAGGTTTATGGTGTGTAGGGTTTTAGGGTTTAGGGCGTCGAGGTTTAGGGCCTATAAGGTTTCGGGGTTCACTCCGATGGGTGGTGCAGACTGCTGGCCGGCAGGGCTGAATCGCGGAACCATTTCGAGCTTGCATTCCTGGGCTCTTACCACCCCGAGTCCGTAAGCCCCAAGCTTGTGGAACCCCGGAGACCTAAGTCTTCAAAAGCAGTCGCTGATGGATTGATTCTTTGCCCGCCGCCAGGAATGCGAATGCTGAGCGGTTTCTGCCTCCTGTCCGCATGCCTCCTCCTTGCAGGCTTGGGAGATGCCCAAATTCCAAAACATTCCGATATCATGAGCGACTAGAGCAACGCCGCCAAGTGGTCAGCCATCATTCTCCGCACATGATCTTTCGCGTGTTGTTGATGAGTGCGACTATGAAGACGAACACGACTAAGACCGCAGTGACAATGCCCCGTACGCATGAGCAGGATGCCCACCAGCCTCACAATGGCAAATCCGAAGCCCTAGAACCAAAGAGCCCTAAACCCTAAACCCTAAACCGAAAACGGATGGGAAGGAAGGTATAGATGGAGCGCAGCCCGTCAGCCGAATTCCGCCAGCTCCTGCTCGAACTCATTTATATATTCATGCTCATATAACCCCGTATTGATGTTAATATATATATATATATACACACACATTTGTGCGATGGTGCGTGCATATCCTGATTAATGCTCTGACTATGATTGCCCTAAATCCCAAGAAACCTCACCACTCAAGTAAAGTGAGCTCTAAACCCCAAACATGAACACCCAGCTCTGAATGTAGCGGTTCCCATCAGGATTCCCATGAGGATTTTCAAAGGCATCCATTTTCGGGGTGTAGAACGCCCGACAACGCAGTATCAGCCCGTATCATCCTAAACACCCTAAAAGTCTGTAGGGCTGCTGCAGGGTTCCCTTAACACTTTTTCAGGGATCCCTAGGCGGCTAATGTACCTACATAGGAACCCCTTAAAGGCTGAAGTAAATACTTTATCGGCACATGGAGCCTTAGGGTAAGGGCCCTTGATGCCAGGTGATGCCGCCAAGATGAAGGCAAAGTCCTCTGGCAACCTGCAGGACAGCAAAGGGTGACTTCGAATCCCAGTGTGTTTAGCAAGTTTAGCCATGTTTAGGGCGTTCAAGCTGCTTTGTTGTTTTAGGATTTGCAGGGTTGTGTAGGGCTTTGTAGTTTTGGGTTTGGGTTTCAGGGTCCGGATCTTGAGAATAATTGAATTTAGGTTTTGCAGAGCGTTGGATTCAGGGTTTAAAAGTTTATAGGGTTCCTAAACCCTAAACCATAAACCCTGAGGTTGTTCGTGATGCTTCGGCTCTCTTTCCCTACAGCCCGCTCAGAGCGTACCTAGGAGGGCTAGGGCTTCCTGCGTTCAGGGGGTGCATGGAGGGCCGGAAGGTAAGATAGCACTGCATCCCGCTTTGTGGTTGAGACTTCAGAGCTTGGGGGCATCCTGTGATAAGAGCTTCTGACGACAGGCGGATGCATGACAGAAGGGTCTTAAACTCAGGCTCTGACAGTGGAGCCCCTTCATGCCCATCTTCTGGGTCTCAAAAGCTTCTACCAAATAAGTTCTACAGAGCCCTAAACCCTCTTCCCAAGACGTGTCTGGAAGGACTCCATGCTGACGCTCTTGGCCTCTACGGACTCTCGTTCTCAGAAGGCGCCGCGGCGATTTCGGGTCTGAGGTTTGCCGGGCTCACAGTTCAAGAGTTTAGGGTTTCTGTTTTTGGGGTTTAGGGTTTCATGTTGTTTTTGGGTTGGTGGCGTAGTGAAATCACGCCATTTTCCTCGAGAATCAAACCCTCCAGGTCTCAAGCATGGAGAGTATGGTGATGGAGCTCGCCAAGCAGGCCCGCCATTCGCCATGGGTTTAGGGTTTAGGGTTTAAGAGCTGCTCTCAGACTTTCAGAGGCTCGAATCGCCGGTGAGGTGCAGCGTGAAGCTTGTGTGTCCCGCACATTCAAACACGGGTGCCTGGCATCGGCAAGTTGGGTTCAGGGGGCCAGAGTTCAGTTTAGGAATCTAGGGTTTCGTGGTGACGCGGTGGGTTGATTTGCTATTTGCACTACTAGTAAATATCATTCATACAATAATATTGAGATTACTTTTTTTACTATTATTATAGTTTGATTTTTTGTCGAAATGATTAGTATTAATTATGAGGATCATGCTTCTTCTTATTGTTCAGCTGTCGGTTGATATTTTCCAGCCCGGAGGCAAAGATGGCCACAGCGGATCCGGGGAACACCTCGGAGCCCCTTCGTCGCAAAGGGTCCACGCTGCTAAGCCCTACCATAACCTACCAAACCCTGCCGTTTTTGTAGGGTCCCCAGGCTTTGAGAATTCCATATTCGGGCTTACAATAAGAACCTACAAAAATGTGGATTTCGGTAGGTTAGGGTGACCCAACTCGAACTCCTGAACAGTTGGTGTTGGGGGGAAGAGATGCGTTAAGTTCAAGTCGACGGCCGACATCTAAGTGACCTTGCGACGCTTTCTTGACATACGAGGCTTCAGGAGTTTAGGATGTATACTCTATGGAAGAGTTTCAGGGATGCTACGGAGTTCCGCGGCCTCGGCGCATGCGCTGTAACTCAAGGCCATACACCCTAATAAAACTTGGCCTGAGTCCTAACCCGAAGCCCCCCACGATACCAAGTGGGGGGGGGGGGGGGGGNNGGGGGGGGGGGGGGGGGGGGTATCTTGTTTGAGGGGTTTCGCAGCACGGACCTGAGCACTTATACTTTTTTTAGGGCTTTGTGGCAGCCTTCACGCCAGGACCAGATGATTTACGTTTCAATGGTAGGGTCTGCTTTTAGGGGTCCGGAAGACTTACCAACTGTTATTCCTTGGGGGGTCCCTAATATAGCTATTTATAGCTATTATAGTTGTAGCCATATGAAACTATACCAGAGAGCCCTATAGGCTAACTCTTAAGGGCCCTTCTTCTTGAGGCTCGTTGAGTCCATCAAGCCAGTCCTCCAGGAGTTGCGCCAGCGTCGAAGGGTTTTTGCAACGATGATGGAGCAAGAAATGAGAGACTCTATACGGGTCTACCTGGACCCCCCAACTACCTCCAATATACCCTAAATACCCACTATTGAGGGCCATAAGGGATCCTGGTAGTAAGGGAGGGTTCAGAGCAGGTTAAATCCTAGAAGATCTCATGCGGGGAACCCGAGACTCCTGACCTCCTGAACCCCTCACATGGACCCGGCTTAGGTGTCAATGTGTCTATAGGGTGTAGGAGTGTAGGGCTCAGGAACCCCCTAAGCCTCCAAAACCCCAAAACCCGTGAAGCTCAAAACCTCCCAGTCCTGCAAGCCAGGGCTATTGCTCGAAATGTCTGCCCCATTCCCGGTTTCTGTGGGTATCGGCTTCAGGGTTTGGGGTATAAGTCTTTTAGGGTTTTGACAGCCTGCGCCCATCATGCAAGCATCAAGTTCGCGAGCTGCGATGGTCTTCTCAGGCTTTTCATCCGTTCTTACTGGAGGTGAAGGATGCACTTCTGAACCCCGAAACGACGAGGCATGTAAGCACCTAATGCCGACAATCCTAAAGGCCCCCAAGGACTTATAAGCCTATTGATGTCTGATGAAGCGTGGGAGCAGGACATGCTGACGAATGTGTTCAAGGCGGCGGACGCGCTGAACGCCAGCTGCGAGGCTCTCCGATAACTGTCGAGCCTAATAAACTCGGGTCTCCGGCATGGTGATGCTTTTTCCCGCAGTTTGACTTGCTGTTTGCGGAGTTCAAGAGTTTTAGGGAGTATTTGGGCCAGGATTGAAGTAAGGATGCGCAGGGTTTAGGTCTGATTGTTGCCCGCCGACTTTCTCGCCAACAGAACCACGTTGTTTTGAGTTTAGGGCGTGAATTAAGGTTGTTTTCTCCGGAGTTTATTGTTTCAGGGTTTACGCCTTGCAGGGGTACTCTGATGTGCGCAAAAATCCGTGCACACTCAAGGCGCGGCAATCGGAAGCAGCAGAACACTGCATGGGGTTGCCGAATGCTCCGCAATTCCCGCAACGCCGATGGCCAATGCGGCAGCACAAGCACCGGGAATGCCAAAACCCTAAGCCCTAAATTCTAAACCCCCAGCTCCACTTGGCTCAGTGTCGGTTATGCAGCTATGCTGCGAATGGGCGTCTAAGTCTAGGTCATGGTTTTGTCTTTGCCCTGGGGGCCCTGCTGTGGAAGGCATCGCGGCAGAACCTCACCACCTGCCCCCAAGTGACGGCTCGCGGCCCAGTTCGTCTGAGAGTTTGGCGCCGAGGTATTGCGAGACTTCCGCTTTTCCATGCATCACAAGACTGCCATGCAATATCCTCAAGCTCCCAAAGGGTCCAAGTACTAGTATAGTATATACTTTTTGGGGCCCAAATACCTACTAAGTACCTGATATAATGGTACTTGGACCCTTTGGGGCTCACACTTCCGGAGAGCGTCCCGAAGTCCTCCGGAAATCACAGGAGGACACGCTGTTCCACCCTCCGCACTTCGATGGGAACTGGGAGACTCTGAGGACCCTGGGACTTTGATTTTACGGAGACCATATATATATATATATATGAGAGAGACACCTCTAGGGTATATTTAACGCCTTGCTTCCTCCAGATATTTCAATATTTCAATTATTT